TCTACCTGGAACTAGAAAGACCATCTTTAGAGAGAATCTTTATGCTCACTCATTCCTTGGTATCTCTGCTGTAACTGCTAACATCTATTCTTTTTATCTGCTAAGAGTTCTCAAAATATGTCTTATTTTGGTGTGAGCAAACACGTGAATTAAATTTGCCTTCTTACCTTACTAAACATAACTGGTTCTGATTTTTGTTTACAGATAAATTCCATGGAAAACTGCCTTCTGAACTGTAGAATGAAAACATTCTGAAAAATGAGCAGTGAGACTAGGTTTTTGGAAAGGGAAGTGGGTCTGTTACAGGACCATTTCCAAATGGAAATGGGCTGAAACCAAATTCCTGAATCTAAATCCCTCTGAACTCTGGTGGGGGAAAGCACGTGTTTTCATAGATTCTAAGAAATCTATGTGTTGAAACTGGTGGATCCAGATCCAAATTCTGTAGCTGGTTCCTGCTTCTATAATGGAACAAACCAAACCCCTGCATCCAAACACATTTACATCTTCCCCAATTTAAGATAGTTCAGGATCCAAATTTTGAGCTATTTGCTACTGAGTGCTATGGTAATAACGGTCTTGTTTGTTGCTTCATGTTATTAGAGGAGCTTTTTTTTCCTTTCCTTCTTAGGGATGGTTATTATTGGTCTTCGATTATAGCAGCACATACTACAGTTTTCCCTTCCTCAACCTTCATTAGCAGCAAACATTTAGTGCCAAAACCATTCTGTCTCTACACTCGTGATGCTGTTTGAAATATGGTATTCTGAGAAGAAGCTTTATGATTAAAATTATGAAATTAGATATTTGCACTCAAATTCTAAAAGCACATTTTAGAGGGGGAGAAAAGACTCCTTTAAATTGCTTCCCCATTAAAGTGGACATGTATTTTACTTAAAATAATAGTCATTTAAAAGAGAGAGCATTTGGGTTCCAACATGAAACACTTTTGCAGCAGTGATTTTTAATCACTAATTGAATTTACAGGACCAGCTCAAATGATTATTGGCACAGCTCCCCTTGCTGATTCAGAGCAACAACAAATGTTAGCTGCATTGACAAAAAAACACAACTTTCAAGTTAATTGGTTTCCTTAAGTGAAGGGAATTCTTTGAAATCCCAGAGTTGCTCTATGAAGTTTGGACTAACATATTAAAGAAATGTGCTGTAACCAACAGGTTGGAAAATAGATTTCCTGAAATTGTTTGACCAAAACTGAAACATTTAAACTTCTATTTGGGTTTGATATTCCTAAGCTTCAGGCCTCTGAGCTAATGTCAAAAATCTGTTACTGCCATGTAGTTCTGGTTTTAGGATTCAGGCCTTGTAAGATGAAATGACAGAATAAAAAGGCAGGCACGTGTGTTTCCATACACATAGGTTAGGCAGGGCTGCCCGGGGTGGGGGAGGGGACAAGTAGGGCAATTTGCCCCAGGCCCCTGGACCCGGAGGGGCCCCTACAAGAATATAGTATTCTATAATATTGCAACTTTCTTATGGAAGGGACCCCCGAAATTGCTTTACCCCCAGGCTCCCTGAATCCTCTGGGTGGCCCTAAGGTTAGGAGACAAAGCACAGGTACTTGGTCTGGAGTTCTGAAAGGAATATTACATGATAGGTCTGTTATAGTATTAATTTATTCTACCAAGTGTTATTCAGCAAAATAGAGTAGAATTAGGTCACTTAGTAGCTCTGAAATATGTTGTTCCAAGCATGGATATTATTGTGTGCAAGGATATGACTGGCCTATTCATAGCCAAACTTCGGTCTTTTTCTCCTCATGCAGTTGTCCATGGTGTAGCTGAAATTCTGTGACCTTCCACGGCCAGCTTCTAGAGGTAATATAAGAGCAATCTACAGCAAACTGAAAAATACTGTTCCATTTTTTAGGATGCAAAATTTGACAGAGTATCAGTACTCCAAAATTAGCACCTAGGTACCACAGTGATTGTCACATTAGAAATAAAAAATGCTAACAATGCCAAGTTTGGGGGAGTTTGAATCCAAAGTTTTGGCTCTGATCCATCCCTTTTATAAACTTGACAGTGATAATACATTTATGTAAATGCTTTGGTGGCATGTATTTTGGGATTATACAATCTGTCACTAATTTCACCCTCTCTGAATGCCCTGGTTAAGTGCAAAATTAGGTTTTTTCCCCCAGAATCCCATAGTCAAAGAATTTCTCATTGGCCCTGGGAAGTAACTACTCACATACGCTAGGATGTACAGTATATACCATGATCAAAGGACTCTGTGGTTACACACAAGTAAAAATGTGCCAAAAAAGTTGAACCAGAGATAAAATCTCAAGTTTTCATTGTTATTGCAAATAAAACATTCCACCATGTAGCCTTGACATTCAGTAAGGTCTTTCATTGCAGGTATGCATGTCAACTAGTCTTTAGCTGTCTTATGTTAAGATTCATTTAACCCTGTGGTTTTCAACCTGGGGTCTGTGGACCCGTGGGGGTCTGCAGAGTAGGTCTAAGATTTCCAAAGGGGTCTACAGCTTCATTTGAATTTTTTTAGGGATCCACAAATGAAAAAAGATTGAAAAGCACTGATTTAACCAAAACCAACCAAGTTGGGGGTCAGTGATGAGCTGAGTGAATCCCAAACTGTCACCACACCCCAGAAAATGCCCTGTGTCAAGTTTCTTATAGCTAATAAATTATTAATATATTTTATAATGCATTTGGATACTTTAATGAATAATATAGGCCCATTTGGTGAGCACAAGGGATTACGTTTATCCAGTCAAACTGGTGCAGCAGTAGCTTCATGGACAGAGCTCAGAATGTGTTCGCTTCCTGAATCTGACACAGACTTGTCTAGTGACCTTGGTAAAGTTTCTTAAGCCACTTTCTGCCTCAGTTATCATCTGTAAAATGATACTTACTCTTCTCTATAAAGTGACTTGAGTTGAAAAGTGCTAAATAAGTATTAATTATTATTTTAATGATCACCTACCATCCCATTCAGTTTTTCCACTATTTACTATAAAATCACAAAGCAATGAATTAAAGCACTAATTATGCTGAAGACTGATCAGCAAATTTACCATAAAAATCTTAAGAAAATAGGAATGTCCATACTGGGTCAGACCAAAGGTCCATCCAGCCCAGTATCTTGTCTGCCAACAGTGGCCAATGCCAGGTGCCCCAGAGGGAGTGAACCTAACAGGTAATGATCAAGTGATCTCTCTCCTGCCATCCATCTCCACCCTCTGACAAACAGAAGCTAGGGTCACCATTCCTTACCCATCCTGGCTAATAGCCATTAATGGACTTAACCTCTATGAATTTATCTTGTTCTCTTTTAAACCCTGTTATAGTCCTAGCCTTCACAACCTCCTCAGACAAGGAATTCCACAGATTGGCTGTGTGCTGTGTGAAGAAGAACTTCCTTTTATTTGTTTTAAACCTGCTGCCCATTCATTTCATTTGGTGGCCCCTAGTTCTTATATTATGGGAACAAGTAAATAACTTTTCCTTATTCACTTTCTCCACACCACTCATGATTTTATATACCTCTATTAGATCCCCCCTTAGTCCCCTCTTTTCCAAGCTGAAAAATCCTAGCCTCTTTAATCAATCCTCATATGAGACCCGTTCCAAACGCCTAAGCATTTTCATTGCCCTTCTCTGAACCTTTTCTAATGCCCAGTATATCTTTTTTGAGATGAGGAGACCACATCTGTATGCAGTATTCAGTCTTACCTTTTCTAACTTCCATTCTGGGTGTTCACTTGTTCCATCGTGTCCTATTCTTATCTTATAGAATTCTCCAATATACTTTATTTCAACCTGAATTTAAACACAAAACAGCACATGTCAATAAGGATCAAGCATTGAAGCTCTACACTTCAGGCTTGCTTGGCTTGTGATGTGAAGGTTAGAGGCTGTTTAACCAAAGCCCACATTGGAGAACTGACCCGGCAGTTGATTCAAGATTAGAAGGCAGCCTTACATAATTCTACTTGCCCACACATATGGGGTGAGAAGCTGTTTGACAGTAAGAGTGGGCATGTGTATTTTGTGCCCAGGCTGCTATCTTTTCATGATAGTTTTGCAAAAAAACCCAACCCTCTAAATATTTCCTTTCCTGTGTCTTAGCTTATTGCAAGTGAAAGAAAAGAATAATGTACTTTTCACCATTTGTGCTGTGTTTACACTTTTTGCCATTCATTCAGCTTGGCCGAGGGCCACGTTTTTGAAAAAAAATAGGCATAAAGTCACATGCACAACTGTAATTCTTTCCCAATTTCCCTGAGAAAGTGAAATACCTGTGTGTACAAAGATAGGCACGCAACAATTCATTCCTGTTGTCAGGCAAACCTTGGACTGCCCCTTTTCAAAATCCAGCCCTGAAAATAGGCTATTCAGTTTCTCTTCGGCTTAGGCTCCAATATAATTAGATGGGTTCCTCCTTAGCCCCAATGGAACCAGGATGCTGGCACAGAAAATTAGCAATATTTTTGAGATGGTTCCAACTGGTAGGTTGGAGAAAAAAAGGATGGCCAAAGCTGAACGGTGAGTGATACAAAAAAAAATCTGACCATTAAAAGATAGATCAGAAATTACAGCTGAGCTGGAAGAGGGATGGTTTACATCAGAAGTACATTCTGGAAAAGTAAAAGAGTGGCATATAATAAAGTTGAATAACAATAGGCATGCCATCAAAAGTGAAAACTGAAACAGACTGCATCAGTGTGAGATGCTTAAAAGCAAAAACAGATGAACTACTGTGCCTGGCAATGGAAGAGGACACTGATGTAATTGGCATTATTAACATATGAGAGCATGTCAAAAACTCAAGGGGATCTAGTAATATCTGGCTAGGTAGGACAGATTAGCTGGTAGAAGTGGGAGATGAGTACTATATCTAAAAGAGCCTATTGAATCTAAGAGCCTGATTCTCCTCTCACTTATACCAATCTAAATCAGGACTGACTCCATCAAAGATAGCAGAGCAATCTTGGTGTAAAACTAACGTGACAAGAGAATCGGGCTAATAATTTCTGAGCAGACAGGACTATACAATAGAATCTGAATACAAATCCCAAATCATATGAATACAAATGTACCATCAACCTCCTGTTGAGGAAAAAGGTTTTGAGTACACAACAGTAAAGGAGATCAAAGAGAAAACTCAGGCCCCACTCCGGCATTGAGATCTCCTAGAGTGGAACCCTGCACATGCTCCAAATCCCATATGCACAGGCACAAGGGTCTGTTCAAGCAGATCCCAATGCAGGATCAGGTCTATAGCTAAAAAAGAAGACCCAGGGAGCAAGTTCAGTTACCTACATATAGATTGGCCATTTGTCACAATGAGAGAAGCAATTTCATGACACCTTAAACCCTTGCTTCTTGGAACAGGTACTTCTACAGCATGTAAGAAGAAAGACTACTCTTGACTTAGGGCTAAGTAACACACAGGGAGTGGTTCAAGGAGCAACTGTAGTTAGGCCACTAAATAATCGTGACCACAATACAATTAAATTCAGCATCCTCGAGGTGAACCTTAATCCCTCAATGTTGGCAGTCTCCCTTTAATTCAGGCCAGAAAATAAATAGTAGAGATGCCAGTGTAAATTTATGAATTTGCTGGACCTTCTGAATCCTAGATCTAGGATTGGAGTAGACAAGGCATGGAATGGAGAATCCGCTTTCTCTTCTGGAATATATCAGCAAATCAAAGTGCAGTCAACACTCACAGGTACAGTTAGACCTAGGATTACTTTCCAGAAATTACTGCCATTTTGCAGAGTTGTTTTGACAAATATTTAGAGCATCTGTCCAGTTTGTGAACGCAGAAATGTAAACCATGCAGTAAAATAACATCTCTCAGGATGCATTAGAGCAACAGGGTTAAAATAATTTCTAACATAAATCCTAATATTGGTCATATAATTGTATGGAGGAGGATACAAAAGGCCTAAATAATCTAGCTCCAAAAACATGGTACAGAGAGATCTGTAAACCGTTAGAAGTCACTGATGTATTCTTACCTTTTTGATTGAATACAGTTTGCATTTCACGTGCACCTTTACTTTGTAAAGCATTTTGTAGCACCGTAAGTATAAAGGATACTCTTATAGTCCAATTCTATCCCATTTTTCAGGTCTTTTTGATGCTGAACTGTTATCATTATTTAAATTGAATACAAATCATTTCACATCCTATATATTGTACTACAACTAGAGTTCTCAGACACTTGAAAAACAGATTTACTGTCAGATTATTTCTCAGTGAGTGTTCTTCTGACTAAAAGGCTGATGGCAGCATCCTCTGTCATATTCTCCTTTTTCCTATCCCAGCTCACTGCTGGGTTCAAATCCCAAAGAGCTATTTACATTGTTTTAAATAGTTTTCTTTTTACCCTTTCTTTTAAAAATCCCTACTCATATATTATCCACCTACTCTCTATTTCCATTAATAAAAATAAAGTTTCCTTGTCTCCCCTCACAGCTTAATATTTCCCCAACTCTTATTTCTAGGACCAGTGGCCTTTATAAGAACATTGTTCTGCTCCCCAGAACACTTTGCCTGGCCCATACAAAGAATGTTTAAGAGAACAATATTAACCCAAATTCCTGTTTTCATTGATGTTCCCACAGGTTGAGCAGCTCATAGGGTATAGATGAGAGAGTTGGAGGATTCCAAGTTATTTACTGAGCTCAGTGGGAAGATAGGGAAACTTTAATTGTATTAACAAAACAAAATCTATCACCACACTTGGAAGATGATGATGTTATTATCATCGCCAATGGTTCTCCATTTGATTCAGCAGTAATTTACTTCTCTGGGCTCAGATCCTGATGCCCTCACCTATGTTGTATAATACCTTACTCCATGAGTCAATAGGATCATGATATGATGATATTAGAGTAAGGGTGTCATTGTCAGGTTCTGAGTCAATAAACTACCAGTGTTATAGTTTACCTACTTGGAAAGTAGACTATTGTTGTATGAAATGGAGCAACCTGATACATTATCCTTTCATTCAGAAACTCTGAATATGTATTACTGTCACGTTTTATGCCTATTCTGATTATTCTTATCCATTCCATTTGGTTAATGGTTCAGCTGGCCGGTCTGCCTGCCCTCTTTTGTGTCAGTGTCAATGGGCAATGTATTGGCTTTGTGGAAATGCAAGGAGTGATGTCCGCCTAGAACAAACTTAGCACCTGTTTGTCTGGCCAAAAGAAGGATTCCCTTTGGTATAATTAGAGAAGGGTATAGCCAAGTGTGTCCATTAGTATACTAGGTATAATATGCCCAAGCAATCTTTTCTCATGTGAGCAGCCTCAAAAGGGATTCAACAGGTAATGTCTACTTACATGAGTAAGGGATGTGATTCCTTTTATTTCTAGAGGCAAGGGTATTTCCACTTTCTGATAGCTGTCTGCATGAGTTTGGCAATAGGGAAGCTTTAGGAAAGAGATTCAAATTGCCCTGGGTTACCGTAATGCTATCTGAGGCAGTTTTCTTCCTAGAACTCCTGGCTAGACCTCTGAGGAAGTCGATCATTTTAAAAATGAAAAAGTGAAGTCTCCTGCTTTAGCAAAGTGCGAGTGAAAACACATCAGGCTCAAGCACACAAGCAGTAAAGAGAATCAGTAATAAAACCAGTCTTGCATTCCTGGCCCCATTTCAGTCGACTGCTATACTCACACTGATCCACAGGTACAAAACAATGTCACTTTTAAAGAGTTCTTACTCATTAGCTAGCTTTTGATGGATTTGTCTACTGCAGGCTAATGAGGGGAAATGTTTTAATTGATATTTATGTCAGGCCTGAAAGCCAGAGCGTCAGTGTGTGGAGTGTAGCGGCCCATGGTGCTGATGGAGAGATTCTTCTTTTTTCAAGATCAATATCCATAGGACACGGCTATAATGGATATCTATTTTATAGCAGGACAATTGGTCCATATCTTAGGGAATCTATGGACAGGGAGAGAAGTTAATATTGCAGACATGCTATTACCCAAAACTGGTTATAAATTATTCACTAGTGAGGAGAAAGGAGTTCCCAGTGGGTCATAGCGCTGTGAAATATATACTGTACATATTTCCAAAACTAACATCACAGCTAATAGCCTCGATGCTTAAGCCATATTAGTACGAAGTACTTATTAATTATTATTATGGACAATAAGGATCTTGGTGTGAGTCACAACTACAATAGTATAGAAAAAGCACACAGAACAAGTTCTAGTACATGATGGGAAGTATCATTTCTGGTTAATTCATTCACACATGGCTTCCAGCTGGAAGACAACAAAAGAGGATATGTCCCTCCTATAAAAGCTTTGTGTGAGAGCCAAGAGAAGCTTTAGACCTTTGTTAATAGCAATTTCTTCCTTCCATTCTACCTGGAGGTAAGCTCCTTTACAAACTGGATCCTAATTATATTAATAAAGTCAACGGCAAAACTCCTTTTGTTTTCATTGCAGGATATAAACAGGATCAAATCCTGACAATGTAACATGCATGTTATTGCAATCTATTAATACCATGTATAAACCTTTTACATTTCAGTCTTTTATTAGGGCATTAGTTAGCTGGAAAACAGCGAGGTTATGACTCTTAGCAGAGCCAACCATGCCGTACTCATTTCTGAGCCATGATTACAACAGTGTATTCAAGAATGCATTTCATTTCTAAAGATCCTGTAAATGATACACATCTTTCAGTGGATATGATTTGTGCAGAGGTAGATGGTTTCTAAGACTAGTTTCAAACCAACTGCCTAAACTAATTGCCTTAAAGAAAGCAATTTACTTCTGCAGTTTCCCCTGCTTGACAGAAAAGAGTATTTCCTCTGCCACATACTATATATATTTAGCTGATTTAATGCAGAATTCAGAGACATTAGATATAGATTTATTTAGGCAAAACATTTTCCCTATCACGAGAGAAATATCTTTGGAAAGGTATTCAGTAAAATAATGTTCCCAGCCTTCATTAGCTACCTGAAATTCATCCTCCTGCCTGGGAAGAAAGAGTTGCTCCCTGTTGTCCTTGCCAAGAGTTATTGGTCCAGCTACTCCTTTGTCTCCATATATCCAGAGTGTGACATTTGCTTGAGTTCCTCCATTTCCTGTCAGCACTGACACTTTCCATTCATCATCTGAAGGAAGGGGATACTTGGTACCTTGGGTATTTTTCATTTCCTCTGTGAAATACAGAACATTAGTGGTAAATCAAAATTGACATGAAACTGACAGTCCCTGTTCTAACATCAGCACATAAAGGAAACATAACAGAGAGAGGATTGTATTTTTTCACTGCAAGTGAGGGAGCCTAAAAAGATTGATTTATGTTTCTTGTCTAGTCCAAAATGTTCTGGTTAGCTGAAGTTGAACTACTAAAATCAAACTGGAAAAGACCAAGCATCTCAAATGTGTACTAGCCTCCCCATCCCTACAATGTTCTATGATTCAATGGAAACACCAGCTTCTAAGATCTCTTTACCTAGTTTCATTGTGGAATAACACATTGTCACAATCAGAAGATGAAGTTAGAAATTTAAAAACGGAGAGCGATAAAGTAAAACTGAAATATCTGTCTGTTGCTTTAAAATACGTGCAAGCTAAATGGGGTGAGTTGAGTCATATATTTCTCAAACAGCTATACAGACAGGTGTTCGGGACATTTCTCATTCAGGATCTGTTGCTGTCAAAGGTAGCAAAATGAAACTGACAAGAGATCCTGTATAATGTACTTTACTGCACTGCTTGCAAATAGAGCAGGGGAGGTGGGGTGCAGAAACTCTTTCTGTGCAAGGCCATCTCATATGCTACACTGGTTCGGTTGTTTTAGAATAAGTTAGTTCCTACTTCTTTAGAGGGGTGAGACCATGACAGTAAAAAATTTTGTGGAGTGAAGGCCCTCACTATCTTTTTAAAACAATTGTATAAAACGGAGTACTTTTCATTTCCTCCAGCATTTAGGATAATTCAGCACTGGTATCAACAGGATTACTCATGTGCTTAAAGTTAAGCTTATGCTTAAGTATTTCCTGGATTGGTGCTATAATACTCAATTTGACAGAATCATTAATGCCTGAAAGCAGAGTCAAATTAAGTTTCAAATTAAAAAAGTGACTATCTGAGGAAATTAAATGGAAGAACAGCTTTGAACTCAGTAGTTCTTCAAATACACGCAAGCACCCATTTTTAATTTTACTCTTCAAAAACAATTAAACGTTTTACTGTGTTTAAAGATCAGATTCTAACTCAAGTCACAAAATGAGCATAACATACCACAGATCATCAGCCCCAAAGCACAGACCTCTGCCATTTAAGTTAAAAGAAGTAACCCTATTGGCTTTCAGGCATAGTAGGTTGTTAGCCTCTATGTGGATTAGTCACTAGAGAAGAACACAACTTATTACAAGTAAATTTCACAAGCTGATGGCCTGACCAAATTTAATTTTGGAAGAGAGATAAATTCACTTCAATGATTGCCTCCAATGATCTTTCGCCCAGTGTTGAGGATAAAGATGTACTTGCAAATCTCAAATGACAAACCTGGAAGTGAAGCATGAATGAATGGAGTCTCAGCAGGGAGGAACATAATTTTGAGTAGTTCTAATTCATATGGATTAGCAACAGTCATATGTCTGAAATATTATTCCTTCCTGGGGTAGTGCTGTCAGCTAAGTGCTGTCCACTTACATAGGAAGACACCGTCCCTGCTCTGAAGAGTTTGCAATCTATAGCTAACTGTTCTGGCCCAAGGGGAAGATACTGCAGTAAAAGAAAAGACTGATAAATATTCTATCTTCATAAATACATCACCAACAATATAGTGCAATCCACTACTGGAACAATAAGATAGAAAACATAAATAGCTGAAGAATATGTTCTCTAAGGGCGTATCTACACTTACTGGTAGATCGGCACTGATTGCAGTGAAAGTCGATTTAGTGGGTCTGGTGAAGACACGCTAAATTGATGGGAGAGCACTCTTCCATTGATTTATGTACTCCACCTCCCCGAGAAGCATAAGGGAAGACAACAGGAGATGCTCTCCTGTCGACACAGTGCAGTGTAGCCACCGCGGTAAGTGGATCTAACTACAGTTATGTTATTCAACTTCAGTTATGTTATTCACGTAACTGAAGTTGCATAAGTTAGATTGATTTATTGCAGGAGTGAAGGCCAGCCCTAAGAGAGTTCCCACCAACATAAAACTCTCTTTAGGTTCCACATTGATTAAAAACTATAGTACCTCTAGATATCTGGGTACATTGTTTTATACCAAGGACAATTTCCTTTTTGTTTGTTAAGCAGAAGAAGAAAATGAAAATGAAGTATTATACATGACAGTTAAGTTTGAAATGCCAGCCATAACTCATCTCATTGTATATTTCTGTTAGTATTAACAAGAATACTTAGTGAAAGACAAGACTTTGACTCTTTTGGATTGGTTTCTTATTAAGTGTATATAAGCAAAAAAAATTCCACATTAACTTGAAATATCTGTGAAACAAAGTGGGTAACTGAAAAGAAGATGGATCAATTTAACACAGTCCTGATTTTTCAAAGTAAGTTCTTCAGATATCACTTTTATTGTATTGGTAGCTGTTTTATGAAAAGCAGTGGTAATCAAGGAAAGTTATATAGTCAATTTTATCGAATGTATGATCTAGTTGGATCCAAAATATATTTAACTTCTGAAATATATAAAGAAAAGGGTTTTCCTTTAACACATTAAATCTCACATTTAAACCAAATGATTCAGGTAACTAAAGACCTGACTCTGCATTGGGATCCACTAATACAGACCCTTGCACCTGTGGGGAGTCCCACCGATGCCTAAGGAATTTGATACAGAACCAAGGCCTAAGACAACCAAGGGCCAAATTCTGGGATCCTTATGCAAATAAATCAGAGTATCACCCTAGAGAGGACTGCTGAATTTGGCCCAGAGATTGTAAGCTATTTCGAGCAATGTCTGCTTCTTTTTTGTTTGTTTGCTTGTGTTGTATATTAGTATTTGTCTGTAAGGTGCCAACCAAGTTATGGCACTGTAGAAATAATAAATAATGTCATAAGAAATGCTGTTTTTATGGGATTTTCAGCCATTTGGCATGCAGCTGATAGTCACTTGGCCAGGGGTTGCAGCTGGTTATGCAGCTCTCTGATCAAGGGTGTAGCCACAGGTGGACCTGGTGGACCACAGCCCACCCACTTAGCATCCAGGCCCACCCAAATCTGAGCAGGGGTCTAGTGCTGCCACAGCGGCCCAGAGCGTCACTTGGGCACCTGAAATTGAGGCTGGAGCTGCGTGCCCGCCCTTGAAAAAGCTACGCTCTGGCAGCTCTGCCTTGCCATTTTCTGCGCCGACCCATGCGCATGCTCAGCTCGGCAGGTGAAGCCCTGTGTCTGGGGGCACCAGGGCTGGGAAGAGGCTGTAGCATCGGGGGAGAAGCTGAGCTAGCACAGTGTCGGAAGTCGAGGGCCACCCAAATTTCCACTCCTAGTTACGCCAGTGTCTCTGATAGTGGCCATTTAGCCCCCTCTTTCATTGTTGCGCATATTTATGTTTCCACCCCAGGAATTTTTAACATGATTTCAGAAACACAATGGTGAATGGTGAAGATCAAAATTCCCACATCAATTCCCACACTTGTGAGATCTCACAGGATTCCTGTAATCTCACAGGGAAAACTTTACTGTCCAGAGGCCACCAATGAATACATCACTGGGCATAGACCTGCATTGTCAGAGAGATGGTCTGAACAACTTAAAGAGTTACTGTAGATGTTCTAACAGTGAATGTTAGGGGTATAGCTGGGGACGTATACTAAACATCTACTTACAGAATCAATTGCCACCCTTCTGTGAATACTAACTTGGGGATTTAAAAACACAATCAGTGTGTTAGGTCAATGTGGATTAAAAATCTTTCAACCTTCAATGATTCCCCCCCGCTTCCCCCCAAAAAACTGTGAAAATCCAGTCACCTGTTAAAATACTTCATAGGAAAATATTCTTCATAAAAGAAACATTTTCTTTGAAAGACACAGTCAACTTTTGTATTTCCATTTAGTTTGCATAGACACAAAAAGGACCCCATAGTTATTACTGCTCATAAATACTCCCTACAAAGTATTATAGAGACTTTACCTGAACCATTTTTAGGGTAAATATCTCCTCTGGAAAATGATCCTGGGCATCAAACCCTAAAAACATTCTGCTTTGTTGAAAATATGTTTAATGGCGTATGTGTTGTTGCCCTAGATTTTAGATTCAACACACTGAACCATTTTCTGACAATCTATGACACACGCAGAAGGCTTTTGGTGCAACACAATAGTGCAATACCAGGTGAAGTCTAAGGGATCCGAAACTGAAATAAGTGTTTTGAAATGAAAACAGGAGTGATGCTGCCACAAAGATGTCAGTGCTATCCACAAATAATTAGCAATAATTAGAAATAATAGTCTGCACTGATTTTAGTTAAACCAGGAGAGTTTGGTGCAATCCTAATCTTGCACTGCATTTAAAGTCTCCTCTGGTATAAAACATATTGCTCCCGGTTTCTGCATCCACTGCAAATTAGCATGCTAAATTTTGGCATTTTGTTTATATAGGCACAATGGTACCTAAATTCCACCAACGTCAATCAAAAGCAGAATTGGGCAACTCAATTTAAGGACCCTAGTTTGACAATTGAGCTCCTCAATTTGTTATCTGGTGGGGGTGGGGGAAAGCTGTCCAGCAAAATAGTGCACAGCACTAGAGGCTCTACAACCCCAGCGTGTCCCCTCCACACAGGTAGAGCAAGGATGGAAGAATTGCATAACTGTGGATTCTCCATCCTGCCCCCGCATGGCCCAACCTACCTCCCACACACGGATCTGAAATATAGGTGGACCATACGAAGCAGAGGTCTGTTCCCCTACTCCACCCCACCAGCCTGACCCCTTTCTTGAATAGGGGAACTTTGCACCACTGAGATAAGAACAAGATTCTCCCTTCAGAAAAGGCTCCCACTTGGGCTGCGTGACCTTGTCCTGCTAAATCAGAAATCTTTAGACTCTGAAGAGAACATGAAACTTCTGCAAACTGAGTTCTCGGCTGCTGCAAGTTTATTTATTTCGTTCCACAGTAATCCTAGGAACAGGGCAAGAATTACTATCAAACTGCAATCTTTGTGGTTGAAGAGCAGACATTTCCATTTAGTTAGAAATACAGGTGGTGTTTTGTTTTGTTTTGATTATTAATCTCTTAAAAAAACAATGGTTTAAATTGAAGCGGTGGCGGTGAAATACTGAAACTTTAAAAAAAATAAAAAGAGAGATTCCAAAATACCCGAGTTTTCCATCTCAAACACTTCTCACTGTAAATGGTATCACTGGTGAATCGCTGTTATTGTTTATATTATGGTAGTGTCCACAATCTGCTAGGCACTATACAACATACACTAGAGAACCAACCCTGCCCCAAACAATATGATCTTAATCCCTTTATGCCACTCCCAGTGTAGTAGGTTACTGGGTGGAGAGAATTGGTGAAGGCTTGGGCAATGCCCAGTTGATTGATGGCTCCTTGAGGGCCACAAGCAGACATGGATCAGATCAGCATTAACAACTCCTCACCCAATCAGTCCTGGGCACAGGGCCTCCTCATCCACACCCAGTGGATACTGGGTGCAGCAGAGTACTGAGGCCAGTATGTACTGGGTCAAGAATCCTTACTCCCTTCCCCCAGTAATTATACACAACAATATGATGCAGCCACATCCAAACATTTTTAAAGGTAGTTAGTGTCTCATCCAAAGCCCACTAGAGTAAATGGAAAGACTTCCATTGACTTCAGTGGGCTTTTGTATTGGGCCCTACATTGTATTAGCACAGTTATATATTAGTAGGGAAAAGAGCTGGGCTATATTATAATAATGTATTCAAAACCAGCATAGTGAAATTAGTCAAATCAATTATATGCTGACTATTGGCTAACCAATATGATAAACTTCACTGCTTTTTCAGATAACAAGTCTGTTAAAGAGCAGTTCATATCCACACTGTACATTGCAACAGTCTAGAAAAGCCATTTGGTGTCGTCCCTGTGATGGTAGGCTATCACAAAGACACAGAATCACAGTACTGCAGTATAGATTTTTGAAAACTATTCCTTACTTGCGGGTGAAGAAGCTGATGGGCTCTGAGCCACTGGCTTCTGGGCTTTTGCCAGTTGGTGTTCGGATTCTCTGATCCCTCCCTTTGGTTGGCTGGGTGTCGCAGATGTTCCCATAGGCTTTTCCCTGCCAACTAAAATAACAAAATGTAAAGTGTGACACTACCAAAAAATCATTTGCTTCTCCTATTTAGAAGCTACCCATGTATTCAACGGCAAACACAAGTAATAAACCTTGCAATTGTCAGACAAACGTACAAGATATACCAAAATCTTTTCTCTGTGCATTGCATAGATGTAAGTAATAGGTTTTTATTGCTAGCAACAACAAAAAAAAAAGAAAAAGAAAAAAAGATGGCATGCCAATAAAATTCATTCACAGCTTTGCAATTCTAAGCAACAATTTAACATTGATGTATGAATCAAATGACTCGTTCAAATGCTGTTTTCTTGACGTTAAGTCCTTCCACTGATGTTTTCTTGATTAAAGGGGGCCATTGCTTGACATCTCTTTCAAACAAAACTGCCAGTGGCCATTTCTGAACTATGAAATAGCAAAGAGACAAACCTTGGCTGCTCTGAAAAAAAGCATTAGGTCCTTTTATCTTCTTTTATTAAGAAGCAAGGTATTTTAGGAACCAACTTTCATACCTGAGTCTAAAATGGAGTAGAGATTAGTTTTATTATAGCGGTACCAGTTAGCATTGCTTTAGTTAAGGTTTTCCATAGAAAACCCTTTTCTTCATGGGTTTAGGAGGAAAAATTATTCTCTCTCGTCTGTGTGGTATATAATTACTCAAATATTCTGCTCCTTCACCCTCAACCACATGCACGGTGCACGCACTGAACTTCCAGTGATGCCACGGTTATGATTACTTTTATTGTAATGTTTCTGTGTACCTTTGGAATTGTTTAAATAATAATATAAACTGTGTGCTATAATACAGTCTCTGACTGCTGATTGAGGTATTCTTGATGAGTTTATACTGCTTGTATCTGGGGTTCCCAACTTATAGTCAAAGCTTGATGGTCAATTCATCATTTTTATGGTCTCTTTCATTTTTTATCTGAAATATCTTTGAACTAACATCCACAAGATATAAAAAGCTGTGACCGTACTGGTTTCTGCCAAGTACTGGCCAAGTGACTATCAGCTGCGTGCCAAATGGAAAATAAAAAAGGGCTCTGAATGGTATAAATCTTTATCAACTGGCTCATATATTTCATTATGGGGTACATCAAAGCACTCTATGGAACTTTTAGTGCATGACAGTAAGGTCCACATGGACACTTCGTGAGTAGCAGGCTAGTGGAAGGTAGATTTACATCCCAGCCAGCCGCAAACTCAGTGTCTGCATAGACAACCCCTGAGTGTGATGAAAATTGGATAATGTGTCACCCCATTAAACTACCACATCAGAACCAAGAACTGGTCTTTTTAGGGAAACATGAAGGCTGGGATTTGCAAAGGACTTTAAGGAAGTTAACTGCCTAATTCAATAGGAATTGGGAACTTAAATCACTTGGGCCCAGATCCTCAAAGCTATTTAGGCTCCTAACTTCCATTGAAATCAATGGGACTTAGGTAATTAAATACCTTTAAGGATCCAGGCCCCAGCTCCTTTGAAAATCCCATTATAAAGGAATAATCATTAAAGCATAAGATATGTGAATTTAGAAAAAGGCCATTTTAATTCTATGAAACTATCCCCATTTTGTAGATGGGATTATAAATTTCATATGAAGACAAGGTTGTCTCTGCAATTAAAACTCCATAGTCTTCCAAGATACGGGAGTTCTGCATGAGATGGGGTTGGGAGAGTGAACCATGGAAAGTTTTAATCAATCTATTAAACTGCTTTCTCTGTGGGGAAAAAAAGAGGTTTAGTAGCTCTTGTTATCTACCCTATGATTCAACGTCAGAAAAGAATCAGTAGATGAAATTCCAAAAATTCACAGTCTGAATTATGTCTGTCCCTGTGTGGGAGCACTAGAGGGGGAGAAATTACAGGGAGCTATTTACCCTCTCGTACACCTGCTCAGGAGACTTCAGAAAGCTAATTTATGGCTCTCCGCTGCCAAGGTGGTTAGAACAGATTGGCCCAGTGAGGGAATGTTTAGATGGGTGTGGCTTTATTATCTGGCCATGGGACAGTACTAGGTAGGCTGCTCTGGGGGAGTACAGCCTAACTGTTTTTATACCATTCTTAAAGAGGTAGGAAGGACTACCTCTTACCCATAACACCCTTCCCTCATAATAATAATAATAATGACAATGACTCTGGTGGCACTGGGACCTAGACAAGCATGACTTCAAGCACTGCCACTTAGTCCAATACCCCCCCCCACTCAATGTGTCTGTGTCTAATGCAGCCCATAAGGTACAGCAGTTGTATATTAATTTTAAAAGGTAATCCCAAATTAATGTCTTTTAGTTCCTGAAGACTGGTTTCATGTTCCCATTTATCCTAATGTCCATGTAAAAAGTGTATCTGTTTTAAACTTTTCCCTCTTTGCCTCATAAAAAAGGGGACGTTAGTTAAAAAAGATAAAAACTGATCAACTATTTCTGGGCATTTACTCCAGATTGTCAGCATCACAGAAATGTTATCAATATTTAGGCAAGATCGCCACTACCAGTAGACATTCCAACTGAAACTCAGAGATGTATGTTTTCAAATCTATTCCATAGTTTACTCATGATGAGACGTGCTTTGTACTGTTCACACTTTCTGACTGTTGAGCAGAAGTGCTTCTTTTCTTTTGAACTGGCCTGCAGACAACTACAGTGTGTGTTAAAGCTACAGTTCAATGAAGGGGGCAGATATTTGTGAGGAAGTACAGCTTTGTGGTTAGGGCAGAGTACTCAGAGATCTGGGGTCTAACTCCTGACAGACTTTCTGTGTGAAAATTCCCCATCTGTAGAAACAGGGATAATAATATTTCCCCTACCACATAAGGATGTTGTGATACTTAATTCATTAGGCTTCATGGAGATGCTTTGATGCCATGATTAAAGCAACACAGAAATGTATAAAAACAAAGCTCTCAGGTTTGCATAGTTAGCAACCACTGACAGTGGAGCAGATTTTCCACTCCACTCCACTCACACTTTGGGGATTTCCAGAGTGAAAGAGTCCACTCCAGGTATACAACCAGCCTACCTGGCTCCTATGCCATATTTCTTGCAGTCTCCAGCAGTGAGGGGCATATTGAAGTTAGAGAGGGGGTATGGCCGGAGCACACTCAAGTTGTATTCAGCTGGAGAGCAGTCTCTTGGGAACCGGTGCCAGCTGACACACGGTAGAGCTGCCCCCAGGTTGCTCTAACCAGTGACTAGAGTTGGGCAGAGAATCAGGGAGCTGTCATAACCAAATGTTATGACCATTGTTTTTATCCACATATTCAAAGTTTCATTTATTCAGCAAAAAACCAAGAGTTTTCCTTTTAACGCCTGAGTTGGTAAAATGAGGTACAAAAATTACCAATGTATATGGGAGGAATTAGTTGCAAGTAGGATATGTTTCTCATTTAAAATACTAAAACATTCAAGAGCAAATTTTCAAGTCTGGTCTCTATATTTTTACCTTAAACTTTGTGGTCATAAATATTTACATGTGTAGCTATAAATATGTGAAATACTCAGTGGCTTGTTTAGTATTCAAAGTTGCATACATTTGATGACTCGTGGGTAGAACAAAATGTTTCTCTCTCCAGTGTTAACAACTGGCTTGGTCTGGCCATCTGGTTGGAGACCAACATACATCCCTCTGTTTTGCACAGATTCTAGACTCACAGATCCACTTTCTAAGTTCTTCTCAATTTTAAAGTGACAGTATACATCACCCGTCCCCTAAAAAAAATGAAATATACAAATGTGAGTTCAACAATTGAATGTGATATGCAGTTGGAGAACTTTAAAATAAAAACTTGAATATTCGTGTCAATTCGGTTTGTTTTTTAAGTTTTTACCATACTGCTAAGTTGTCTAGCTGTTCCATCCTATAAAGATAGCCTCATGTTTGGACCTGTTTATTCCTTTGTGATCAGAAATAGAGATATAATGATCTGAATAAGGGAAATATCATGCATAAGACAGAGAGTTCTGATTCATGTAAAGGTTTAGGCAAAGGCTAAACTGTCTTCAAAGCAGAGTTTCCCAGTTCTGCAAGTTTTATGGCTGATGGGAGATGTAAATGTCTCTATTTTAGACAACAGAGGGTAATGCAGTTCGATTATTTTACTGACTTTAAAGATTGTATTCCTTCTCTCTGGCATTGGCAAGTTACTTAAACATTTTAAAAGGCAAATATGAACAAGAACTGCTTACTGTTCCATTACACTTGCCATCCTTGATCCTCAGATACATTCTTTGGTTTTTCAGACTTTCAATCATGCAAACTCCAGAGCTGATTTTATGCACTTTCCAATAGGATTCTTCAGATTGCTTTCCTGCTCCACTGCAGCTCCCATCAGGCCTGAGGCAGAGAGCCTGGTAGAGACTTGTGGTGAGCAGAATTATGGCACCATTGTGGAACACACCCTACAAATCGATAGATAAAAATATCCATGTGTAAATTACGTGGCTTCCTCCACCCCCTTTGATTTTTCACCTTGATACACTCCATCATCTGGCAGGAGTTGTACCTTTACACTAGCAATTAAGCAGAAGATGTGAATTGTGTTTTTTAAACGACTACAGACGCATTTCTATGTTTAAGGTGGTAAGTGACTCAAGTACATTTTTGTCACAAGTCACATAAGCGTTCCTTCAACTAGCAAGCTGTTCTCTCCTTCTATGCAAACAATTTTCCATCCAGCTCTGTTGTGTGTACATCCCTGGTTTTGGAAGTTTTTTGACTATCTGGGACTTCCCCAGAGTTTACATCATGATGTCTCCCTGTTAAGCTGTAGTTGCAGTCTTTAGCTCCACCTAGTGGGAGGAGATCACTCTTTCAACTTTCAGTTTGCTGGGATGTGTTCAGGTACAGTGGGCTTTAGAAGAATAAACTATTTGCAGTTTAGTTTCCTTCATCTCTCTCCCCCAACCTTACCTTCACATGCACAACAAATTCTTTCGAGAGTCCTGCATAGCCTACTGTATCATCGGCTACTTTGCCTTGAAGACTGAATGTAATCATGTGCCCTGGACTCCGGGCTGATTCCAGAATTGCACAGCGATTTGGCTGAACATGAACTTGTAACTCACAGAGAGTATCTTCATTGTCCTAACACGAGAAAAGCAGGAATAATCAATTATATGAACCACTAGATATAAGTAATATGAAAGAGAAGTCACGCCATGGGGTCTCTATTTCTGCACCTCTATTAATTCCTCATGGTGCCATAAACATATTGCTATTAGCCATGAAGAGCAACCTAATATGGAAATTCTCAAATTTGTTTTTGAGCTTGAAATTCTAAAATTAAGAGACCTGAAACTGGGCACAGAATCTTGAAATAAGACAAGCCTGTTATCTATTCATAATTATGTTCATTGGGTACAATTTGTTTCCTGGGTTCTGCTAGAGAAAGTCAAGCTAGGAACCACCAAAGGCAGAACTTCTGCATTGAGTGCAGGTATAACAACTAACATATCCGGACTTCTTACTGCAGGGGTCTGGGGTCACCCGGTGCAGCCCACAAACCAGACTGAGTCAGAAAAGAGGGTGCAAGGTCAGGGCTCCCAGGAAATGCACTCAGAATATCTCTCAGGTACCTTTCACCAGCAGCAGCACTGTGGCCCCCCATATCAGGGTTTATATTGCTCTCCCTGGATAAACATCTAGGGAAGGCAGCAACCCACAGGGATCCAACCAGATGGCTGAATCAGGCTCATTATCTGTATCTGTCTGGTCAGAGTGTAAAGGGCTGTGGATTATTTCCTGGTCCTTTTGCATGAAAGACACTATACACAAAAATACACACTGTATTGGATTTATAACAGAGCTGGGCAAAAATGGAAAGTTGCAAGATTTCAAAGCTGTTTTCATTTCACATGGTTCAAAGTGGACTGTTGCTTTTTCAAAAAATTCATTACGTTTTTTAATCTAACATGGGGTAGGCAACCTATGGCATGCGTGCTGAACACGGCACGCGAGCTGATTTTCAGTGGCACTCACACTGCT